GCATCTGGGCCTGGGCAGAGGGACTCAGCTGCTTAGGCAGAGCAGGGCTCTGAGCAGCAGTTTTTGTATCATGGGGAAGCCTCTCTGGGTAGCTGTCCTGGCTGTGCCCCAGGTCTGGGCAACCTTCCAGATGAGCCTTAGCTCTTCAGTTTCAGACTTGTGCCTGGCCCCACCCATCCATCTCCTGGGCACATCAGAGCTCAGAAGTGGTTCAAACATTACAGTTCTACAGATATTATTCAAAAGTGATGTATATTTGGCTTTAGTGGACAAGAGTCTTTTATACATTTTCTGTTACATCTATAAGAATTTTTGCCAAATATCTTACTTAATATCTTCATTCTCCATAACAAACCACATGAAAGGTATTAAACAATGAAAAACTAATTGGTGTATATAGTATAGATTTTAAAACCAAAACAATCTTAGTGGATTATTTCTCTTTATTAGAAGAGAACACTGATACCCAATAAAATCAAGCAATTGGTATATACTGATATTGAAGTCAGCTGGATCTTAATCCAGCTCTGTGCTTTTGCTAAATTCTGTAAAGACAAAAGGAGCGCACCAGGAAACAACGATGTAGAACCTTGAAGCACACATACAGGTGACACATGCTTTATTGCTTCAGTTGGTATAAGAGCTTTTGTTTATAACCAAAGGAAAAATGAACAAAAAGTATTTTTTAAAATGCTGGCATCTTGAATGGCATTGAAGGGACAATACCCCTGCTTTAGCAGCCATGACAGGCTGCAGAAAAGGCATGTAGACCTCTCCAGCACACGTCTGACCTTGCTGGGCCTGCCCCAGTCACTAGGAGGTCAGATGCCCTCCTCCTGGCAAGGAACCAATCAGAAGTTAGCTGGTGCAGCTTGCTTTATGTCTCTGGGTGTGCTTTACGGCACAAGGTAACAACAGTGATGTGCAGAGCATAACAACCACCCTGGGAGGGCCTATAAGCCATAACAACCAGTTGACCAGTCAACACAGGACAGGTCATCCAAGCCCAGGAGCACACCAATCCTAAGACTGTTGTGTACCCCTAGACACTCCCCTTATGCTACCCAATATATTCTCTGCCTTGTGCGTAATTCCCCTGGATCTTTTTCCAGCTATCCATCGTGGTGAATGGATGAAAGGCCTGAGCTAATGGGGTTAGCTCGTTAAACAACTACAATAAAAGTCTCTTTGCTTTCTCATTGAAATGGGCCTCTTGGTGATTTGGGGGTTTCAGCATTTGGGCAGAACAGCACTAACTTCATAAATGTCAAGTGGCATATTTTCATGAACTGTGTGAAAACAGTGATCAGTTAAGTCTGTGGTGTTAAATATAGTCAGAGGGTGGAGGTAGGACAGATGAAAGATGGGAACTGGGTATCAGAGAGAGCAGAGGCCTAATGAGGTAGAAGACAAGCGTGGAGAAACACTGGGGAAAGTATAGTCTTTATCTCTGTAATTCAACAATTGCTTGTGGAAGGAGAAAACATTTTTTCCTTAAAAGAAAAAGAATTCAAGTAGCAATTTTCATTTTTATTAACCAATGTCTCTAGAAATTGTTTGTGAAAAGGTTTTTTTTAATGGAATATAGGTGAACAAATTGAAAACATTTTATTTAAGAAATATTAAGAATAGCTGTGATAACTGAACATTTTCTTTGAGATGGACATAACTGAACATTCTAGATGTCCCTATCCCCCTACCTTTGAAATCACTCATTTGGGATCATCATCCCCACTTTGTAGCTAAGAATACTGAGGCTTGCTAATGTTAACCTGTCCACAACGGTAGATCCACTAAGAACTGGATTGTCTCCAAAAGCTGATCTTCTAATAATGAAACCATACCATCAGTGTTCACAAAATGTTGGCATTTTGGCCAGAATAATTATTTCTTATTCTGAACAATTACATGTTTTCAAAGGTATCTTTGCCTTTCAGGCATTAAATGCCAATATCAGTATCCTAACTCTGTAAAAGCTAAAAGTTCCTCATATGTTCCCAGATTCCTAGTTGACATGGCTAATTTTCATATCCAAAACATGTAAAAAACAAGTTAAAGAAAATAATGAATTCCATAAACTTAAATTTTAAATGAAATTTAAGAATTTCTCAATTTTTCTAGATAATTTGTAGTTGGAAAAAAACCTATTAATGAAAAACAAGAAATGCTGGGCTTATAATAGGTTCAGAATTTTATTTTTTGTGCATAGTCAACATGTACCTTGTATTGAAAAATTTGTTTGACATTTTCTTCCCTGGCTATAAAAGAATGTGGTAGGGTGGAGGTTTAAAGAGACGAGAGACAGAAAGTACTATTATCATTTCCTTATAGTATATTTAAGAAAATAATCTGCAGGAAAGTCAGTGAGGTGGCTGAGTAAGCAAAGGTGCTTGGGGCCAGGCATGATGCCCTGAGTTTGGTCCCTGGTAGGAGAAAACTGAGTCTCATAAGTTGTCATCAGACCTTCACATGTGGGCTGCGGCATATGTGTACCCAGAACAATACAGGCAATTGCCATAGTTATTAGTTACCCATTGTAATAGTATAGTAAGGCTCTATTGCTGAAGTCACCATATACTTTAGTTGCAAGATAAAGAAAACTCAATCAAATGGACCCAGAATCTCTCTGATGACTGGCTTTCATAATTCTGGAGAGTTCTATGAAAGCTGATTGGAGAAAAAAGGCAGATGTGTCCGTTTGGTACAATAGTGGTAAGACTATTTATGGGATTAATGAACTGTTCTCTTGATTGGACTTGAAATCTTCTCCACGGGAGGAGATTCATGCATGACCCTGTGAACATGGTCAAAACTCACAGCCTATGTAAGTCATAGGCCTTATGAGAGAATTGTTGATGATGCTTGGCTAAGTGACTAAGTTATCAAATGCTTTCTAAATATTTATAGATTGGTGCTGCTCCCAATTTCGGTCAGAGAGCTTCTCAATCAGTAGTAGTTAATGCAGAGAATGCCAACAATAATGGACTGTGAGTGCTCAGGTGTAAATAGGGCATCTGCATCAACCTCCATCCTGAAGCTCATGGAACTTCATTGAAGAGGCAAAGAATGCAAGAACCAGAGGATGTGGAGAGGTGATTTGAAATACTGTCCCCTGTGCTGTTACACACATGAACTCAGTACAGCAGTGATTACCCATGCAAGATCTACAGACAAAACAAAGCCAGTTAAAAATTCCATCATGGAGGGGGCAAGGACTCAGAGGGTACTACCCCTAGATGAAGAGCTATTTAGCAGTTGATGACTGATGAAGGAAAGAGAGTTACTTTTCTTTGGAGTGTGATACTACTTGGATTTAAAAATAAATGATAAAAAGAGAACATGAAATTGAAAGATTGATGTTATGGCATGGCCCTAGAAGGAGTTGGGGGGTGGGAAATGAAGGGTAGATATGATTCAGATACAATGAATAAATGCATGGCATTTTCAAATAAGGAAATAAATGAAAAGAAAATCATGTTCCTAGAACTTAATTTTCTGAGCAAAAACTTTATTTGGACTTTTCCCCATCATGTTACAACTGTGCTTAAATTGTATATAGCTATTCAAGAGGTTCTCCTATTGAGGTTTGAAATGGAATTTGGGACCATAGTAAAAATGAAAACCAACTCACTACAAACCTAAAATTGAAAGAGAATGTGCATGTGGGAGCAGTTAGATTTACTATATGAGAGGAGTGCTTTTCTGATAAGTATAAGTATAATGCTTAATTTCAATTGTCAATTTGATGAGACTTGAAGTTGCCTAAGAAATGAGCCTCTGGGCATGCATGTAGGGATTATCTTGATAGGCTTTTGAGGTTGGAAGATCCACCCACTGTGTGAGGCACCATTCCCTGCCCTGGGATCTGAACACAAGCATTTGTGGCTCTCTCTTTCTTGACTGCAGATGCAATGTCACCAACTGATCAAGTTCTACCAGTGACTGTTCCACCATGATGGACTGGTGAGTCAAAATAAGTCCTCCTTTCCCTACCCTGCTTTGATCAAAGTCTTTTATCATAGTGACTGGAAAGGCAACTAAGACAGTAAGTAATTTCATAAAGAAATAATAAAATCAGGAGATGTAGGAGACAACTAGACTGAATAGAGAACCATCAAAGACACAAAGGAAAAACCCATCAGGAGAGGCTGGAGCAGTGGTGGAGGCATGATCAGTGGTGTTAAATACTACCTGCGATGAAAGTGAAAGAGGGAAACTCTTCTAGAGTTTAGTAAAGTTCCCCGAAACTGAGAGATGGAAAACTGAAAACAGATCCAGGGTGTAATCGACTTTAAGAGTCCAACTCTTTAAAAAATGTAGTCATTTCCTAGGATAAAGGAAGCTGAAATGGGTTTAAGTATAATAAGCAAAGTGTTAAGAAATAGACAGAGGGCCAGTGAGTAAAGGAACCTGCTAAGCCTGATTATCTGAGTTTAAATCCCAGGATCTACATGGCAGAAGAAGAAGACTGACTCCTTCAAACTGTCCTCTACCCACCACATGCATGCTGTGACATGTGTATGTACACACATTTACACAATGCATGAATACATGCACAAATACAAATAAATGCAATGGAAATTGAAAACAAAATTAATACATAAGAATTGCTTTCATTGATCATATTTAAGGGGAATTAACCTGAATGTGAAAGCTATGAAAAGCCCAGGTAGGGGATTATTGTGAGTAGATTTTATGGAGAGACAAGTCTTGTTTTTAAAATCCCTTTCCGTTTGGTTGCAGAAGTGTACTCTACTTCTGAATCTATTGGAGGAAGACTTTCCCAGATTCCCATCATGCCTAGGTGTGGTAAACACAATAGCAGCCCTCTCAGAGGATGAGCTCTCTACCTGTTTGCTTATGAGTAATAGATGCTTTGTTCTTCAGTCTCCTAAGCTAGAGCAGAGGATGTGGCTAGTTAGGAGGTGGGGACAGTGCAGATGCATATGCAGATATGTATGTGTGTGTTTTCTACATCCGCTTCCTCTTTTGAACTGACAGTTGAATGAGAACAGAGAGAAAGTTACAGTCTTCGATATGAGACTATATCACTGCCTCTGCTACCACTTTTGAGACATACTCAGGCCCATTTGGAGAACTTTCTCTCTTCTGGTGAGTATAGTTTTTACTTCGCTTTCAGGGTGGGGCTGATTCATAATTATCAATAGTAATAGAGAGAAGGACAAAAGAGATGTATCAGGAAACAACCTCCCATTCCTGACTTTGATGCTACAGCCTCATCATTGGACCTACGGATGCCTCACCCTCTTGATTATCAGATGGCATTGTTCTAGGGTCATGGATCACGGTCTCATTCGGTGAACTGAATCTCTATTTACAAAACGTCACTTTTCTCATGAGAGTTCTTAGCATCTTACTGAACTCACATGTGTGGTCACTTCATTCTATTTCCAACTATGAAAAGTTCTGAAGGAGAAAAGTTCCCTGGTTTGATGACAGGTCCTGCTCTAGAACCTGTATCTCTGAATTTGGGAATTCCTAAATCTGGCCTGCCCTTGTTCTCTGTGAGCAGGATCCTTTTCTTTAGAATCTTGGGGGAAAGTTGTAAAAATGATGTGTAGTGCTGTGTGTGGAATTTACACAGTTGGACAATGACAGGCCAGACTTACTACAGGCCTATGGTTTGTATTTTGTGAAGACTAAATTTTGCTCTATGTCTCATCTAGATATGTTCACTTCTCAGCATTCTACATCAAATTGGGGCTGGAGTCTCCAACACCCTTTGTGTCAAGGTAGCCACCCCTCTGTATTCCGGGGAAGGAGAAGGCATGGAAATATCATTCACCCTGGGCTTTCCCCACAACCATGTGCACTATCAAGTTCCGTGGGTGGAAGAGATGAGGTGGGGATTTAGAGCAGAGCCCCATCAAGATAAAAGTGTACTGCAGAAGTGGTTTGATAAGATAATAAGCTTTTGGAAGCAATGGCCAAGGAAATGCTTGTGACTTCGTATATCACAAATATCTTTAATGGGAGGTTTTATGCAATTCAGGGGGAATTAGAGGTTGGAGGCTTGCAAATTGTGTGCCCAAGCTTCCGAGTCAACAGATGTTCAGCTTGAGTGGCGAGAGCCACACATCTGTATTCTCCTATGACATGAATCACTGGTAAAAAGAAGAGAGGCAATGTTTATTGGTTGTCTGCTACTGAGAATGTTATCACTGATAGCAAGATGAAGCTATAGGAGGGATGGAAATAGAGCCAACAAGTGACTTCTTATTCACAAGCACCCAGGCCATTCAGAGGCTATTTGTAACCATACTAGTAATGTTCTCTTAGCTCCTTTAACCCTCTGAAAGTTCAGATATTTTCCTAGGATGAAGCATTATATAGTGGCTGTGGAGAACCCACACAGCCCTTTTAGGTTGAAGGTCCAGGATTCAGACTCTAACAGATGATGAAGAGAAACTTTGGTTCTTGGACCATGACTCAAGCTTCACTGTTAGTGGCAGAAAGGAAAAAGATACTAGCATTTCTTTCTACTTGCAGACTAATAGCTATCCCAGTTTCCACTTAGGAGTCAAGCAAAGTGACAGACCCCAAACATGTAGCACTGTGCCTAGACCGTGCCCAGACCTAGTGAGAATGGCTAAAACAGATTTAGGCTGAAAAGAGAATTCTGTCAAATAACTAAAGGATGAGAAGAGTATGTTTATTTATTATAATAAAAAAGGGGAAAGATGAGAACAGGAGTGAAATTACTTCATGACCATGTAAACAAGACATGGTCTTGTTTTAATTAATGACATCAATTCACAGGGATCATTCAGTGGTCAAGAAGTTTCTTTGCTCATCCTAAACATGTCTGGATAAAGCTATGCGTAATTATCCAGGGTGATCTGCTGTTTATTATTCCTGATGTCTCTAGCTTACCCAAATTTTTTTAAATGGCATCTCTCACACACCAATACTACAGGATGAGTTGCTCCAAATACATGATTTTAATATTTCCCATGACCTATTATAAACACAAAACTTACATCTAGATGTTGAAGGAAGAAGAAAGGGAATGAGAGGAAAAGAGCTTAGATACTTTGCTTTCAGTATTCAGCTAAATTAGATTTGTGGAAAGGCATGAAAAAGGAAAGGCAAAGGAGTTACATTGAGTAGCTAACATTTCCTCCTTTGATAATTTCATAAATAACACCCCATTTTCCACTCCCTGAAACATAGATTGAAGTGCTCCCTTGCGTTATAAATGATTGAGAATGTTCCAACATCATAAGGGTAAGTTTTGATCTGATGATCTTCCTAGTGGCACATTGAAGAATAGAAACCAGGAAGGTAGTTATCATTGATCTAGGGAGGAATGTGACAGTCCTTTTTAGGTTTTAGGCATGTAAGGTTGAGGAGGGTCAGCCTGGCTTAAGGTTAAGTTTGTCCTGTCCATAAAGAAATACTGCCTGCTCTGGGATTTCCCCCGAGCCTTCTGAATCAAAAAGACTGTGCCTGGGCTGTGGATGCAGAAGTTCTCTTGGGCGACATCATGGAAACTTTTTTTTCTTTGCTTATGCTTCATCTCACTCTCAGTCCAAATTCACAGGTACTGCTTGGGGCATAAGTAAGTTATAAACAGAGAAGAGAAACCTTTCTGTTCTGTGTCTGTGAAAGGAGGCCCAGAGCACTGAAGACTCATCTAGAACGAAGAGTGGCAGGAAGAAGGCTGCATGACAAAAAAAGGAAGACAGAACACATTTGGGATACAAACTTGTAAGTCCTATTTTCTATCCTCCCTTCTCTTCCTTCTTTCCCTCTCTCCTTCCCTTCCCCCTTTCTTCATCTCTCCTTACGCCTCCTTATCTCTGTCTAGTTTTGTTCTACTCCAAAATGAGTGACCAGGATTCTATTTCTCTCTGATCCTTCTGGGCGTTCTATAAGGATGGCTACTATTGAATTAGAGAGATGGTTTAATGGGTAAAACTTCATGAGTATCTGAATTCTCATCCCAGTACTTATGTAAAAAGCTAAAGTCGGTGGTACATGTCTGTTATTAATGCTGAAGTCACATGGACAAAAGAATCCCAAGGGCTCACTGTTGAACCCACCTAGCAAATCAATGTATCTCAAATTTAGTGAGAGACTATTTCAGAGAAAGACAGAGGAAAATACCAAACATGATCCTTTGGCCTCTATGGGTGTACATATGGGTACATGCGCCTGTAAATATAACACACACACACACACACACACACACACACACACACACGAATGCACAAATTAGAAAAGGCCAAAGGATTGTTTTTTTTCTCACAGTTAAGTTCTGCCTAATGTAAGTACCTCTATTTAATATCTGGATGTTGCATACTATACTGTATTCTGATGGCTGCTCCCTTTCCCCATTCTGATTCTTAAAACTATTCTAATTTTAGAGACTGGCATATAGTGAGAGAAAATTAATAACATAATACATAATTTTAATATTCAATGGCCCAAAATGTATGCCACTTATCTGTTTACATATTGAAAACACTTAGCTGCAGAGAGGTTCAATAATTTTGCCAAAGACTCACAAGTGTAAGTGGACAGACTATGATTTTAAACAGCGATATTCTGATTCCAAGGCCTAAGCTCTGCCTAAAATTTTCCCCTGAGTTTTTAAATAACACTCAGGAGAAAAAGAAACATTGCCCATTGTTACTAGACCTTTGAAAAACATCCCTAAGTTGAGCCACATGTAAGCAGAGCTGATATTTGTCAATTTCGTTTGTTATATTTAAATATTAAGCTGGATGGGGAGGAACGGGGAGGAGTAGAGAGAGGGGAAACTGTAACCAAGATATTTTATATGAAAAAGATTTACTTTCAATGCAAAAGAAGAAGAAAAGGTGGAGGAGAAGCAGCAGTCTCTTCGATACATTGTTAATGTAACCCATCTTAGGGAAGTGCATCAACCACAGTTTCCAATTTTAAATAAAAATCAGATCTCTCCCTTGTGGGAAAATGATATGTTCACAGCAAACTGTGGTACGTATTCATTGCTCTTGTGGGGCAGATACTCACTGCTCCAGGCCTTCTGAAAGCAACACAATCCATTCCAGCTGCTGTGCTCTTCCCACAATTTCCCAGATTGTTCCAAAAAATCCGGAAGCTCAGTAAATAGGCCTGTGCTGAACAGCGCTGTGACTATTGTAAACTCTGTTAGTTCAGTCAGTGCCCTCTACACCCACTGCTAAATATTCTAATTCTGCAACATCAAAGCAATGAAGAATTCCCTCATGGAATCCCGAATTGGACCTTGTTGGGAAACTGTCCTGCAAGCCTGAGGGAGGTTTGTATGTTTCAAGATTACCAAGATGGAGTCAAGAGGAAAACCATGCTGGCAGCACAAACAAAGCAATACTTCTTTTTCTATGATTATCACACAGCTGAGTACGAAATGTGTTGGGTTTATGCTGTTTCTCCTAGATTATAAAACCACTAGATTATAAAACAGAGCTGAACAGCATATAAAGTGGAGAGTTTACTAAAATAATCCTTACTTTCCTTCATCCCAGATTGTATTGTCTGCTGACACTTGGATGACAATAGGCTGTTTTATTATTCCAGTATTTGTGGAAAGGCTGCACAACATGGAATCAGACCAATATGAGCTTAAATCCAAGCCCTTCAAGGTCCTAAATACCCATCCTTGAATAAGACATTTTCTCTGAGCTTCAGATGCTAATGATTAGCTCTAAGGTATTGGTCAAAATTACGTGAAGTATTTTAAAGACATATTTGTGGATAAATATTAGGTGCTCTACACAAATCAGTTATCACTAGTTCCTTCTTTGATTTACCATGTCAACGCATTGTGAAACTCCAGTTGCATCTTCTAGAAAACAGACTGGCGATGTAGCAGGATGATAAGAAGTGTGCAACGTTCTCAGCTCAGCAATGACACTTTCTCAACAGTTTTCCACGACTGCTGCAGTTACTGCATTTGGTGGCATTTTATTGGAAGACAGACATTCAGAGTTCTTAAACAATTCCGTGTTCTTGAGCCACAGATGTGATTTCGTTCCAACTTCTATAAATTCTTCTTTTTCCTATACCCTTCACAGAACAAAAAACATTCTCTTACTTTATTTGGTTGCAGCTAGATTCTAGACCTCCTGATAGGGCATGGCAAATTATTCAAGGAAAACAATTCTAGAGAAATGTCTTGAGAAGTAGAAAGGACAAAGGGCAATGGTTGGGGAGAAGCCTTGGGGGAAATTCAGACAAAAAGTAATATACCCTGTATGGCACTTTTCTTTTTTCTTTTCTTTTCTTTTTTTTTTTTTTTTTTTTTTTTTTGGTTTTTACGAGACAGGGTTTCTCTGTATTGTTTTGGAGGTTGTCGGTCCAGCCTGGCCTCGAACTCACAGAGATCCGCCTGTCTCTGCCTCCCGAATGCTGGGAGGCACTTTTCTTGAATTGGTTGTAAAAATGGGAGAAAAGAGATATAGAGGCTACCAACTTCTGTTTCCACTTTGGACATAGTATAGTCAATGTTATAACAGAATCAACATCTAGGAAGGTGATGGAATCCAGAGAAGTTTTGTTTGTTTATTTTGTTTCTTTCCTTTTTAAATTTAAATTAGAAACAAGCTTGTTTTACATTTCAATCCCAGTTCCCTCTCCCTTCCCTCCTCCCCTGCTCCCCACTGGCCCCCTATTCCATCCCCTTTCTGCTCCCCAGGGAGGGTGAGACCTTCTATGGGGGATCTTCAAAGTCTGCCATATCATTTAGAACAGGGCCTAGGCCCTCCCCTGTATGTCTAGGCTGAGAAAGTATCCCCCTGTGTGGAGTGGGCTCCCACAGTTCATTCGTGTACTAGGGATAAATACTGATCCATTACGAGAGGCCCCATAGATTAGCCAGATCTCCAAGCTGACATCCTTGTTCAGGAGGTCTGGATCAGTCCTATGCTGATTTCTCGACTATCAGTTTGGAGTCCATGAGCAACCCATTGTTCAGGTCAGTTGTTTACGTGGGTTTCTTCAGCATTGTCTTGACACCATTGCTCATCACTTTTCCTTCTCTGCAACTGGATTCTAGAGTTCAGATCAGTGTTTAGCTGTGGATGTCTGTTTCTTCTTCCATCAGCTACTGGATGAAGGCTCTCGGGCGGCATATAAGGCAGTCATCAATCTCATTATCGGAGAAGGGCATTTAAGCATCTTGACTATTGCTTAGATTGTTAGTTGGAAGTAGGAAAATAATTTTCTAAAGATAGGATAATTTGCTAGTTTAAGCTTTAAATTTTAATTAGACTTGAGCTATTCTTATACTGTGTTAACTAAAACATGGAAAGATGGCGCCCCGTAGCTCCTATTCACTACAAGACAGATAACATATACACAGAGAATCTGAGGCTATTGAGAAAGGAAGTTGGGTCTGTACCTTTTCCTTACCACGTACTAGTTGAGGACAATTTCCTAGCACAAGCATGAATCTTATTCTTCAGTAGATAAAGTGTTTGCTGAGTTATCGTCATTGAAAAGCACTGCACTATGCCCTGTTACAAAGGATGGCCGATTAACACAGACATGCCAAACACTCTCTTCTTAAATATGTCAGAAGCATACATACTGGTTGCTAGTGATTGATCAGAGACATGGTGTAAATGCAAATGACAATTTATTTTTTAAGTTTTTACTTATTATTATTATTATGATTGTCATTGTGTGTATGTGTAACTTTAAGGGCAACATTCAAGAGTCAATTTTTCTTCCCACCTTAGATTTCATGGATTGAACCTAGGTTTTCAAGGTTGTATGGGAGGCATTCTGACCTTATCCCTGGCCAGCACTCTTTGACTTCACCATGTTCCTTTATATTGTGGAAATGCTTTTTTGTCTGATGATTCGTGTTGTTACTGGGATATTTTGAATAAGCATTTCCATTCTCATGTCTGTATTAGACAGCTTCCCTCCAGAATCTTCCAAAGCTGCACCTTGCCACCTCTATCAGCATCTGTCATTTCTCAGTAGCATACTCACTGCTGGTGGGTTTATCTGATACCACTTGCCACTTCCTCCAGATTTCCAGAAAGAGTACTTAGCTTCTTATCGGCCAGCAGTATATTTTCATCTTATGACCATGAACCAGGCCCCTCTATTTATTTCTGCTTCCCAATATTGCCACCCATTCTTACAGTAGTTCCAGTTTTGTGAACAGTTCATTATAACCCAGATATGACAAAGGTTAGGGAAAATTAATTTCTACTTTAAGTCCCACACCAATGAGCCACATTTGGGGAGGTTGGTTCCTTTGCATTTTCTTTCTCAAGATGATTGGGGGGGGGTGTCTGTATGTGTGTGTGTGTGAGTGTGTGTGTGTGCGTGTGTGCCCGTGTGGAGGCCAGAAGTCATGATCAAGTATTCTCCTCCATTCTTCTCCATCTTAAATCTTGAGATGGGATGTTTCACTGACTGTGGAATTTGCTAGACCAGCTGGCCAGAAAGACCCAGGAATACCATATGTGCACTCTCAGTGCTGGGATTACAGGCATGTGGTACAGGTCTCAGTGCATGGCAAACACTTACAGGTTAAGCCATTTTTTCAGCCCCTGTCATAGTTGTCTTTTAAAGTGAGTAAATGATTCCATTCTCATCCAAATTTCCAGAAAATGACTGTGAATGGTAGAGCTCTTTCTACTGCCTGTAATTACAGCCAGTTTTGTAGGCCTTTCTTTGGAATTCTTTAAGCATTAAGCAGAACTCTGTTTCCATGTATACTTTCCTATAGGTATTTAAGTAAAAATTCTGTGTAGGGATATATACATGAGGAAAAAACATTTTCAGGCACATATAAATGCTGTTCTCAAATGCAGGAACTCTCAGAGCAGAAGCAGGCCTTAGAAATGTCATCTCTCTCCCCTCACAACTTTCTGTCCCAACAACATAATTACATCTTATGGAAGCCTTAAAGCTGAGGTCTGTGTATGTCTTGTAAAATGCCCTGGGATCCCATGGGGCATAGTCATCTAGGAAGCACTCATTTATTTAGAATGTATATTTAGCCAACAATGTGTTTGATTCTGTTTTAGACATTGGAAACACAGTAGTGGACAATCCAAACAAACACCTCTGACTTATGTTCCAATTAGAGGAGTAAATGAAACAGGAGGGAGGTTAATAAAAGTGTAGTGTGTGTTGATGATAATAACCATGAAGAAAAGTCAAGCAGGGAAGTCACACAGGGACGAGGGTGAAGGCAACTACAGAAGCCACATCTGGCTTCCTGGAGGAAATGTGTTGAGAATGGATTGTGGGCTTTGTGGGTTGAATGCAGCAAACACAGTGTAAAAGGAAAGGAAAAGGTATTTTTTAAAAACCAGGACTAAAAGAGGTGTAGAGGAAACTAGCCTATTTGAATGAGAACTTCAAAGATGTGAGGAACATATACTAGAGACATGAAAGAGGGCACTGAAACCCTTTACCTGTCATCCCAGGTAGGGCGTCAGCTCCAGAAGGTGCTTCCAGAGGCTTTTGGTACTGAGGGTAAGAGTACAGAGGGGCAGCCCTATGTTCCCTCCTCATTTTGTCCCTCCTTTCCTCCTCTGTCCTTTTCTCTACCCCTTCCCATCCCCGTCTCTCCCCTTTCCTCACTCCCTCACTCTTCCCCCTCACTTTCCTTCCCTATTACTCCCTCTCTCTCCCAACTCCCTCAGCCTCCATCGTTATCTCTTCCTCCATCTGTCCCTCCCTCTTCCATTCTGCCTCCCTCCCCTCCATGCTTCTCTTCCTTGCTCTCCTTCTTTTAAGTTTTCCTAACCACCAAAAATGGCCTTGTGCACCAAGGATACCCTGTGATTTATGTAAGGGAATTAAAGAAATAGGCAAGTCAGCCTTTGGCATTTTCTTTTCTGGGCTGTCTGGAAGCAGCCTATTCAATATTCTGGAAGGTGGGACTAGGAAAACACACTTTGATTCAGGATTTATGGAGACTTCCTGACTTCATCTTCTGTCACCTAACGCCAGCAAGTTCCCTCTGCTGATCCTCTTTGCAGCTTCCCTTTGACCTGAGTTTAGGTAAGTGGTGGAATAGTCCCTAAAAGACAAAAAGGAGTGCAGTGCATAACAGTCTCACAGTGCTAACAGCTGCCTTCTCTAGAAGACAAAACCTGGACTGGGCCTGAAGAGAAGACCCCAAGGTTAGACAGCAACAATACACATTGTCTTTCCTTGGTATACATCTTATCTGTAGCAAGACAAAGCAACTAAAACACTTTTATTGCGCTAGCAAAACATTTTATGTGCAGGGTGTGCTTTTAAAAATAGCCATTTTAGTACCTGAGTCTTTGAACGTTTCACTAATGACTTTGTTTTTGAGTCGTAAAGGAAGACTCTTGAAATTCCTTTATTTTTCTCTTATCTTTTCCCTGACTATAACAATTCAAAGTGTAATTTGGAAGATGAAGCTATGCATGGTGGCAGCTCCAGAGAAACGGGACGATAAGACCTGAAAGTCCTGTTGCAAGTCTACTCACTCCTGGTGGAGAGATGTGACTGAGACGGAGTACACATTAGGGCCTGCCTTTCAAGCTCTATCTGGACAGCTGAATGAATCCTACCCTTTGTTCTTCTCGGATTCTGTGTCTAGAGACACTGTTATATATTTGGGGGAAGAATACAGAGGTGCCAAATGAGTATCACTTGTGGACCGACAATTGCATTGACAAGCTGAGTAAGTAACTCGGTCAATGTGGAAATACAAGTCCACAAATTAGAAAGTGACCACCTGGAAGGTGTGGTCTTCCAGTTGCTTAAAAGAGTAAGTTCAGTATCTCCTTGGTTCTATTCTAGTTCTTTTCTTTTCCTGGGAAAAGAATATATCAAACTGAAAACCAAATAAGTCTAGAAACAAAAATAAAATGTAAATTTTGTGTGTGTGTGTGTGTGTGTGTGTGTGCGCGTGCAGACACAGATCAATAGCAAAGTCTTCCTGAATCTCTCTTGGTCTTATTTTTTGGAGATAGGCTTCCTCACTGAACCTGAAGCTAACTGATTTGGCTAGGTTGTCTAGTCAATAAGCAAACTTCAGGGAATCATCCTCCCAGCTCTGTGTCCATAGCCACGATTAGAGACCTACCCCTGTACTTGGCTTTTACGTGGGTGCTGGAGATCTGAATTCAGATCCTTATGCTTCTGTGCCATGTACTTAAGTGACTAAGGTATCTCCTCAGCCCCTCAAATATTTTAGTTGCAATGGTAGATTCTGAGACACCAAATATTAAAGAGTAAAATAACAAAACAGCAGAGTCTCTTTTGAACTGTAGCTTAAATTGATCTACCTCAGCCTTCTGAATGCTAGAGCTACAGGTATGAGCTAATAAGCCTGCTTTAAGAAAAGTGTTTCATAATAGAACATTCCAACTACTATGAGAATAGAGATACTTTAAGTCAAATAAGTTTCCTCAGTGGCCCTTAGCTCCTGTGATGTTTGAAGCTTTTAGACTCACTGACTTGAAAGCCTTGACCTGGTACTTAGATTTCTCAGGGCATTCCCTTTTTTGGTGGTGGTGGTGGAGGGGTTGAAGCAGCAAATGGCCTCGCATCATTTCTTTCCTGATTAGGCAGAGAGAACAGGCTCTTTGTACAGGCAGAAAATTAGAGTCACCTTGAAAGGAGTGGGTTCGGAAGAGAGGGTAAAAGACTTTCCTCCTGTTTCCACTTCCAGGAAGGCCTGAAAGGGCCCAGGGCCATGGAAGCATCTGTGCTGAGCCCCACATCCTGGGAAAAACGAAGGGCCTGGCTACAACAGAGCCGTAACTGGCAAACCCAGGTCCTGGAAGAGGAGGCTGCAGCTGCCCTGCAGGATGCACTGGATCCTGAGCCTTCTAGCCTGGATGATGTTTTCCAGGAAGGTAAGGAGCTGCTGGGCATCACACAGCTAGCCACTGTGTCTTGCACAGGTCTACAAAGGATGGAAAGTGGTCTCTGTTTAATAGAGCCTCACAGGGGCTCTTTATGACTCCTTTCGAAGGTGAGTGTAAGGGATAGGTATAGTGTCACATGATATACGAATTGTGTGAGGAGGAGACAGGAAACAGAAAGGGACACCTTGGCACCATCCTGAGAAACTTCTGTAAGAGTCAAAGGAAGAGGGTTTGTCTGTGAATTAAGTTTGATTATGCAGCAAGACTACATACAGTCTATGCCAAGATTCAGGCTGCAGCTCTGACAACTGTGTGACCTTTGAGAAGTCTCTCTGAAGATTTTCTTGCTCAACGAAGCAGTTGTTCCTTTCTCACATACCTATATTGTCTGACGTTCAAAGACCAGAAATGTAGTCTGAAACAAAGACTTCTGGACCAATAACCCACCCTTGTTTACTAGGAAATAAAAGAATAGGACTTTTCTGATATTTCCTTCCTTCCTTTTTTCTTTTAATTTTTTAGTTTTGGGGAAGGAACCATCTCTATTCTGAAACTTTCAGAAAAGAAAGCAGAAAATGTGGTAGCCTGGACACTAGGAACTTTCCATTTTCTGAGGTAGATGGAAGAGAGGCAGGGAGGGGAGACATATTCGTTATTTTTGCAGAGTACATCCCTTTCATATTCCCCCCTCCATGGGTAAGGAGAGTTATGCTGTGGCTTGTGTGATTTGAAGGATGCTGTTTTCTTCAGTTTCCAAATTACCCAATGTCTGCTTTTTCTAGGGAATCCAATCAATAAGATTGAGGACTGGCTGCAGGGCTGTGGGTAAGTGCTCAAATGCTAAGATGTGTCTGGTGGATGACTGTGATGGTGCACGTGGTCCTTGTGGACTCAGAAACAGGAAGATAGTGAGAATCAGTTTGGTGTGCAGGCATGGATCAGTTGCTGATCCAGGCTGTGGGTCAAATGTAACTCAGGGCTGAGATGAAATTCAGCTTGGAAGGTTAAGAATCCAGGATGGATCTGGGCTAGAACTAAGAGTAAATGGATATCTGAACGGGGTGGCGGAGGCTCACTCCTTTAATCCCAGCACTTGGGAGGCAGAAACAGGTGGATCTCTGTGAGTTCAAGGCCAGCCTGGTCTACAGAGCTAGTGCCAGGACAGGCTTTAAAGCCATACAGAGAAATCTTGTCCCCCCCAAAACAAGAGAGAGAGATGGAAATTGCATCTTCTCAGTTTCCCCATTCTGACTGCATTGGAAGTGGACCTAGTAGAAGAACACAGGAGGACCTCAGGAGCTTCAAAACCATGAAGAGTTCAGAGATTTTAAACTATATTTCCTCGTTTCTTGAAAACAATTTACTGTATACTCCAAAGAACCCTACAAACATACTTACCCTTGTTCTTGAAGGGGGATTGTTATGCTTTGAAAACATTTCCAAATTTCTCTGGGTTTTTTTTTATTCTCCCTTATATCTCTGCATGACAGTCATACACAGGAAAATCCAGAAAACTATAGCGTGAGAGTCTTATATCTAGGTTCTGATAATGAAGTTTGATTTACAGAAATCAGGAAGTTGACCAGTGGCACTTTAATGTAAATTTCATTGAAATGTAAATATCATACCAGCGCCATTTTATTTTTACTTTAAATTTTATTGACGTATAATACTCCTACTTAAAAATAAATGACTATGAACTAATATTGTTAAATGAGTTTTCACAAAGGGACTATAATCAAGATAATTAAAACAGAACGCCACCAGCATTTTTAAAGACCTTTTTTATTATTTTCCATTCACTCTTCTGCCTTGTCAGGTAGTCAATACCTTGACATAACACCATACATAAGTTTTGTCATTTTCTGAACTGTTTTCTTTGGCTTTGCATTATTCGTGATGTTCATCTATGCATTTTTGTGAAGCTGTCAATCCTTTTTATTGTTGTTCAGTATTAACTTACATAGTTTATTGTACCTTTTTTTCACTTTCTAAAAGCAGAAGATTCTGGCACATTCTTTCTGGGTTATTATGAGCAGTTTCTTTTGCTGAATATATGCAGACATTTTTATTAAGTAATGTGTAAGTGAAATAATATTCTGTTTTAATTGCAGTTCTGATGATAGTAGACATTTGAAGAAATCGCAGCTCTAATCCAAAGTGTTCCAATTATGGAACTTTCTGAATGCTAAGATGACATCATGTGTGTGAAAAAGTTGAAATGCAGGCACTTTGTATAAAATATTTTATAAAGTTACTGCCATGCCAACTTACATATATGTAGAAGATCAATAAATTTCACATTTTAGACTTGTTAGTCTTAATTCTCTTTCCCAAGATATCATTATGCATGCATAAATATTCCAGTCTGAAAAATTATCCCAAATCTAGTATATTTTGAGGAGTAAAGGATACACACCTTGTATGATTTGTCTATGACATAATTATTTAATTCAGTTATTGTAACACTCTAATAGTAGACAACTACATTGGTTATAAGTGGCTTAATACTCTTGAGAAATTAATTTATATTAATATATGAATAAATATATGTAGTATAATATGCAAAGTATTTCTGTGTAATTATATATTAAGTAGAGAAGTATGTATTTGTATATCAAGTTGGATTATGCCTTATCAACTCTTAATTGGATTGCTATAATTTCATCCCTTACTATGTAACTTTACACATAGTTTTGTCATAGCAAAATAACAATTAAAATTCTGGAAACATAGTTGACATTTTTTTCATGATTGACTAATTTCACAAAATTGAAGCACAGCTTTACAGAACTGTTATGAGTCCATTTCCATTGTTAAATATCTACGATACTTCAAGAGCTGTCTGATTAAGGACAGGGTTTGACACACACAAAAGGGAAGGTTGGCTTAGTACTAGCCCCACCAGATACACTTAAGCCTTTGCTAACTCCCTTTACCAACACTTCTCCACTCCAGACTCCAGCTGGGGCATCAGGAATACCATAGCTTCCATTTTTAAAACATTGGGAAAGCAAATACTGCAAAACTCAAAACATATCAGTGCTTTATGTAGGGTTAGATGGCTCCCTTTTGGTGTTCTTACCTTTATTTAAAAAAGAATTTGGAAATAGACCTAGAATGAAACTTAAGTACCATTTTATTAGAGTTTGAGGTAAAAGTAACAGGACAGACAAGCTATAAATCATGGCAACTGCTGGATAGATGAAGACAGAAGAGAGAAGGAGAAAAGGTTATGCCTTTTAAGAATTATTTCTCTTATTTTTGAGGTTATACGATGATTATACCATTCCTCTACCCTTTCCTTCTTCCAAACCCTCCTTCCTCTCACTCAAATTCATAGCCTGTTTTTATGTTAATTGTTGTTACATACATATATGTACATGTGTGAATATATATATGTAATTTGATCCGACTGTAATATTACTTGTATGTATGGTTTCAGGGCTGATCTTTGGATATTGGATAATGGTATTGCATGATCATTTGTTGTGCTCTTTCCCAGAGAAAACTATTTTTCCCACTCTCAGCATTCCTTAGCTAGTCTTCATAGGCTTGAGGTCTCATGGGCTTTCCTCCATCTACTTTGGCATATCAATTAGTATTGTCCTTGTTCAGCACATGTTCAGGCAGCCATGTTGGTGAGATTTTGTATGCATAGCTTCTGACATTAAAAGGAGAAGCAATCTTACAGAAAACTCCCTGTTCCTCCGACTCTTCCAGTCTTTGTGCCCCATCCCTGGGCCTTAGGTGTAGAAGCTGTGTTATAGCAATATCAGTTGGGACTGGGATCCAAAACTCTGCATTTGTATTGGTAGAAGTTTTCTGCAATAGTTTCCATCTTTTGCAAACAAAAGTTTTGTTGATGAGTGTAATTAGGGATTATAACAATTCAGCAAAATGATGATTGTAAGTTTCCTCCTCAACCCATAACTTCACTAGCCCTGGGTCATTTGAATAGGTTTTCAGTACCAGGCATGATTTTCCTCTTGTTGAGCAGGTGTCAAGTCCAATTAGAGAGCTACTGAATACTGCTAAGATATGTGTGCCACTACTGCATCTTTAGGGTTATCCTGCAGTGCTGGTCCTCGCCGTAGTTCATGGGCACTATAGCTGGGTAGGAATATTGGTTACTTTTCATCCTATGGAAACTTGCTTGGCACTTTATAGTACCATGAAAGCTAGTCCTCAGGAAGGAGGCTTTCTAGTCAATTCCAGTTTAAGGGCTTCTGGGCCCTGTGTCTGAAGTACATGGTGTCTTCAGCAGTAGGAATTTACCTTACACCTCTGGGCAGTGGGATTCCAAGGGCAATAGCAATATCTTGTAATACTTTGGGAGTCCCATGGACAGTCTTGAGCAATAACTCAAAAGAGGGCTTATCGCGTCTAGTATTGAGATCTTTGTTAGATGTTCTTTGGCTCTTGGAGGGAGCATTGCTGGCCCAGGTAAGAAAATCCTATTCAAACTATAGACATGTTTTATAAATAGACCCACATGTATTATAATTTGAAAATATTTTAGGGAGAAGTTAATAGGAAGTTCCTTATGACTTTTCATACGTCTTTACTATTGCTTTACCTTCTCCCTCCCACCTGTATTTATCCTCCTCCCCTTCCTAGTTAGAACCCTTCCCTTTTTTTCCATGTTCCCCATCAGATTACTTGTATCCCACTATTCCCCTCTTTACTGCTACATACACCTACCCCAGAAATGATCCCATTTTACTCTTCCTGGTTTCTACAGTTATTCCAGGATGTGTGCTTACAACTGAAGATATGGAATTAGGGGTCTCTGATGACAGAGAACATGTCATGTTTGTCTTTTGTGGTCTGGGTTACCTCACTCAATATAACCTTCTTTAGTTCCATCCATTTACCTGCAAATTTCATGGCGTAATTCTTTCGTGATTAAATAACATGCCTTTGAGTTATAGTTCAAGAAAGCCATTGTATCCATGCTCAGAAGTTGGTAAACACCAACAAGGCGGAAGGATCTGGCATGTTGAGAATGAGTTAGGATGCTCAGAGTATGAGACAGAACATTCTTGAGCTTTTCACTGGTGTCTGAGAAGGAGAGGGGAAGAATGAATAGGAAAAGTTACAGTCTTCTTTAGTTATAACTCAGAAAAACATGCAAGCTTAGCAATGCTGCATGGCAGAAGCTCTGGAAGAGAGTGCATTGTGGGTGAGCTTCTCAAAATGTGAGTACATTGTCTCATTATTCCTCCCATCCTTTAGCATGTCCTCAGGAGAATCACAGTGGTCTTCTGGTTAAGTGATTGACAGGCTTAGATAATTAACTCTTAAGAAAGGAAATAATAGTATGAAATGTTCTAATCTTTGGGACAGATCAGAATGTCCTATCTCCACAGAGTTAGAATTGGCATCCCACTCTTTTGACCACAAATAACTAACTTTTCCTTAATGCAACTCAAAGAAGCCCTGACATTTTAGATGTATTATTTTAGATCCTAGGAAGGGGCAGTTATGGCATTTCCCTTTCGAGTATTACTAGGGAAACAAGAGGTAGGTTTCTAAAACTGATTTGAGGAAAGGGCTTATCCTCTATGGCCTCCAAAGGTAGTAATGCCTAAAAATAGTACTTGAAAATAAGGTGCCAAAGTAGGGCAAAGTGCAGGCAAAAGGAACCAAGAATCATGGAAAAGGCTATATTGTTATATTTATTCTAGTTTCGACTCCATCCTAGTATTTCTGATTTTCATAGAAGGACATGTGCATTCAACCTTTCTGTTATTTCTTCTAGGCATGATTGTTAAAGTTAGGCATTTCTCCTCCCCACCCCCATTGACTACTGTAATTGGAATTAGTCTTGAAAAGTCATGAAATGCATTCCTTGCATTTTTTATTTTAAAAATTGTATTGTTAACTTAGAAAAGGTAAATATTCTTTTTTTTAAATAATGTTCTGAGTTGACAGGTTTGTAACCTGAAATTTTTTTCATTTTCTTCTTTTAAACATTATATCCAATAACTATATTGTTGTGTTACTTAATATGTAAACTATGAGAAGCCAAGAGTGAATCCCAGGTGCTCTGATCACAGCTTAAAGCTCTGCTTACATATTTCAGATGAAGGGAATTTCTTTTTTTGCCAAACTGCTGCTGCTTCTTGCAATCTGTTATGCTGATTTCTATTTGGTCTTCTGGTCACAATGGTGATTGTGTGATAAGGCATCATTACAAAACCCAAAGCTATCTAACAGGGAGCAGCTTCTTCTGTTTCCGGAAAGATGTGATATTCAAGTAAGAGTGTGGGTGCTAGAAAGGGGAAGGGATGTGGGTAGATATGGTGAACTGACAAAAGCCTGAAAAGATTAACATTTGTATATGTCATATGGAAATTATGCTACCAGAAATTGTCAAACTCTAGCTATTAGATCGCTAGGAAATGATAGAAATCATGGCATCAAAAACCTCTGTCCTGTTAGCAAATTTCCCAATCTTACTTCTGTATTTTTTCTTTTCTTTCTTTATTTTTTGTTTGTCTTTGTTTTGTTTTTTTGAGACAGGGTTTCTCTGTAACTTTGGAATCTGCAGGCTACATGGCCATAACAAGAGCAGCACATTTAGAAATACAACACACTCCAATCTCAGGCACTCATCACTACTTCTAATAACCTGTGAGTCAAGTAGCCACAGCCTAATTATCTTCAATATGAAAGCAAATTCAATAGTGCTGACTCTCACTGGATAAAAAATTATGTGAACATGTGGAAGATATTTGAAGAAAGACATGAAAATGTGATTTTTTTTCTTTTGGCTTTAGAGATACGGAGGAGGGACTTTCTGAAGAAGCAGGGCAACCCAACTACAATGGTGAGCTGTTCTGTTTTCTTTTCTTCTTGGATGCTGTGCTTGTGTGTATGTGTGTGTGTGTATGTGTGTGTGTGTGTGCGTGTGTTTTATACATATCCACATTTATGTGTATGCTTGAGATTATAAGTGTTTTAGTTTCTAAAAAATACCACTTATTTGTCATAGAACAGTCTAGAGAATTCAAAAGAAGTGCTTCCTCAAAGCAAATGTTCCCTAATATTAATAGATTACCTGTTAGTGGTTGCCTCGCTAACAGCTGCTATTGGAGAAGAACCTAGTGAACTGTGTGAATTTATATTTGTGTGTCTCTGAGTGTGGTCACACACCTTCGTGTGTTAAATACTTGGCAGGGGATTGTGTATATGATTATGTGTGACAAAGTACACAGATAAGTTACACATGAATGTATATAATTCTTAATCGAAACATTACTGTGTTTGTTGGCATAAAGCTGAAGGAAAGTTTGTGAACATGTAGTTATCTAGCATGTTTGTGTAGTTATGTTAGTCAAAGGACATGTTTAGATGTTTAAGTATGTAGGTGTGTGTGTGTGTGTGTGTGTGTGTGTGTGTGTGTGTGTGTTGTGTTCTGACTATTTTCTGTAACTTTCCTGTGATGTTTGTTTTGGAAGGGTTCTCCAGCCATGGGACCAGCTTTGAAGACGACTTGAGTCTTGGAGCAGAGGGTGAGTGGCACAGCTGTATGATGCTGGGATTAGTGCAGAAGGATCGCATGGTATGATTTAACAGTAGGGTGGAAAGGAAATATAATGAAGAATCCGCGTCTTCCTGGGGTTCTATCTGGAGTGAAAGAATAGTTTGGGGGGTTTTGTTTGTTTGTTATTTGTTTTGATATAAGATAAACTCAGAAAGTATCCCAGATTTAGAAATATTTCCTCACCTGCCTAGTATGACTTCTGACAACCTTTTTGTGGTGCTTGAGGGCACAATATCAAAGCACCATAAAATTTGCTGTATAGTTATCCTCATGACTTCTTTTCTCTATTAAAAGCCCAAAGAACCAAAGAAGTGTGAGAGCTTCTTCCCTGTCTTCTACTTCATCTTCTTATATTGGGCATCAGACACAGTGCTCCATCCTTCTGGGCAGAAGCTCTGTCACTGAGCTCTATCCCCATCCCTGATAACTGGTTTTAAGGGGTAGATTTTGCTGCAGAGGATAAGGTTTTAGATAAAAGATAGAAGCACTCCCTCTTGCCGGTATCTCCAGAGACTTGTCAGAGACCCTTATGATGGGCAGGAACAAGATCCTAAATACCTGAGTGACTCCCATGCTCAGGTCAGGGAGGCCATTGAACAGGCCTCAATCATAAGTTCCAACTCCAGACTAGGTGTTTGGTTGACATATCTGCTGCACTTCTTAGGCTGTGTTAGATGACATTGAAATCCTTAACTCTGTACCATTGACCTGGCTTGCAGTAATAATAGAGGGAAACAGTGGAGCTATTTTATGGCCAGAGAAACAACACAGATGCTTTTCATTTTCCCTTCTAACTTGTTTTTACCTTTCTGTTCCTATCCAGCCACACTACTGGCCACCAATGGAAACATCTTCTCCAGGTAAGTATGAAGTTCAGACACTTTGAATGGTGTCCCCCAAGGAGACAATGAACTGAAGGAGGTACAGAATCAGAAATTTTAAGCAAAGAGGCAAAGAAGAAGGCTTTCTAACCAGCAAAGGATGGCATAGTCTAGTTTTCCTCAGTACAGGAAGAGTATACCCAGTAGGGGGAGCTTGAGGTCAGGTATAGATTAGAAACAGGAGTTGAATGACATTAACTTTGATCTCTGCAGGAATTTCCTCCAGACAACCAGGCCTTGCCAGTTACTTGATCTTGGCTGTAGTTTGGCTTCCAGCAGCATGACTGGTGGGACCAACAAAACCAGTTCAAGGTAGGTAGAAAATTTTGGAGGGTTAAGTTCACTGATGAATGAGAGGCCGTGAAGAACGAGCTCTGGGTCTGCATACTGGAGCATTCATGCATTCTCTATGTACAATCAAGAAATATGATGTTTGCACCAAGAATAGGTAGGGGTGTAGAGGAAGCTTCGTCTTGGATGCCGTGTATAAAACACAAGAGCCTTCTTCCACTGAACATATACTCCAAGAGGTGAAGTAAGGTACTATCACAGTATCTATATGTATAATAGGTATTCAATAAACCTTTTATATTTTGTAATCAACTAATTTGTTAATAGAAGCAATACCAAGTTTTGTTCAGTCCAGGGATTGACTGTACAGAACTTGGAAAGCTGAAGCACGGTTTGTCTTCAGGATCTCAGTTATTCCATAGAATGGGCAGGATATACATACAAGATAGAAAGTATTGGAAATTAGTGAGATACTGCCGGGTGTTGGTGGTGCCCGCCTTTAAACCCAGCACTCGGGAGGCAGAGGCAGGCAGCTCTCTGTGAGTTCGAGGCTAGCCTGGTCTACAAAGTGAGTTCCAGGACAGCCTACAAAACAATACAGAGAAACCCTGTCTCGAAAAACCAAAAAACCAAAAAACAAAACAAAACAAAAAAGCAGAAACTAGTGGGATATAATGAGGATGTCAGAAATCTGGGGACAAAGTTTTAATTTGAGACATGATACTGAGACTTAACATTTTACTTGCATGTGACTAAACTTACCTAAATGGGACTCAATTAAATGGGAATGTATAGAAGTAGGATTCAGGCCAGGTGGTGGTGGCCCACATCTTTAATCCCAGCACTTGGGAGGCAGAGGCAGGCAGATCTCTGTGAGTTTGAGACCAGCCTGGTCTGCAAGAGGTAGTTCCAGGACAGGCTCAAAAGCTACACAGAGAAACCCTGTCTCAAAAAACAAACAAACAAAAAAGTAGGACTTAGGTGTTGTATTAGTCAGGACTTTCTAGGGTAACATAACTTACAGAATGAATCTCTCCCTATATATAGAAAGGGTATTAGAATGACTTACAGGCTGGAGGTCTCAGCTGGTCTCCAGTATATTCTGGAATCCCAAAGAAGTAGGCTTTAATGCTAGTGAAGGAATCAACTTGCTAGGGAGGCAAGAACAAGCAGGCAAAGAACAAAAGCTTCCTTCTTCCATGTTTCTGTACAGGCAAGCCTCTATCAGAAGGTTACAGGTAGGCTTTCCCAGCTCAAAAGATCTGGATTAAAGATGGGTCTTTTCTGCCACAAAGAAGCAGATGAGAAGTAGGTCGTCACACTTTAGATTAAGGAAAAAAAATCACTTTTTCAAAGGTGTGCCCTCCATTTTTTGGACTTTAATTAATTCCTGATGAAATCAAGTTGGCAGCCAAGAATATCCACCACAGATGCCTAGATTTTTAAAAATTATTTCTTTTAGTTTTGAAATTATAATGTAATCATGGCATTCTCCCCTGCCCTTTGCTTCCTGCAAATCCCCCCAGATACTCCTCCTTGCTGTCTTTCAAATTCTTGGCATCTTTTTTATTAATTGCTTGTGTGTGTGTGTGTGTGTGTATGTTCCAAAAATGTAAATAAAGTCTGCTCAGTCTGTATAATGTTACTTCTATGTATGTTTTCAGGGCTGACCGTTGGTATGGGTTAGCCAGTTAGTACGCTCATCCCTGTGGAAGACTATTTCTCCTGCTCTCATCATTCATAAGTTCATTAGTTGCCTGTAGTTCTTTGTGTAGGAGGCCTCGTGGGCTTCCCTTCATCCACTTTGGCATGTTTACTGCTGTTGTTCTTGTCCAGGTTATGATAAGACAGCACCCTAGGGGACAGAATCTCACAGAAAATTCCATGCTCATTTGGCTTTTGAAATGTTTTCTGCCTCACTATGATCCTTTAGGTGTAGGAATTGCATTGTAGAAATATAAGCCGTGACGATGCTCCAAAACTCTGCATTTTGATTGGTTGTGCTTGTCTGTAATGGTCTCCATCTGTTGCAAAGAGAAGTTCCTTGATGAGGCATGAGGACTGAACTTATTTGTGGGTATAAAGATAAATACTTAGAATTCACTTAGGGATTTCGCTGGTTTAGCAAGATGATTCTAACATGGTCGTGAGCAAAGATCAGGCAAATCTACGTCAGCAGCTCACAGGTAAGGAAACTTACAATGGTGGAGTTAAAGGAGCATGGAGCTAGCAACATAAGGGAGGTTCATGGACTTCACAATCCAGATCCTAATTCACAAAATGATCCCAATTTTGACTAAAAAAAACCACGGCATCCTTTCTGAAAGAGAATGATAGTGACAGCCTGGGCCCCAAACAGTCTACACACCTTGCTTCCATTGTTGAAACACAAATATTGAACACAAGTGTCAAGCAGATTCTGTGTGGTGCCGGAATGTATAATAAGGGGAGGGGAAGTATTTAGTCTTCTATGAAATAGCACTTCTCCAGATGAGCAAAGAGCCAGAAGAAGGGACCTCTCTAAATCAGTTATCAAATGTACCTAAGTTAGGAATGAGAATATTATAAGATCTGTGGTCTTTACACACTATTTGTTTAGTTCTCTCACACGGCTACTAAGGCAAGTACAGTGACAGATAAACTGCTAAGCATTTGGCAAAAGCCAGATCTGTGGCAGCACACAATTGGGGACTGACAAGTTAGCGATGTAAGCACACACTGACTCCGTATTGCTCTTCATTTTCAAGCCATTTCCACATGTATTTAAATTTGTTTTCAGCTCTAGAAACAATTCTAAGCCCTATGCTAATAGTTTTTATGAACAGATCCAGAATATACTCCCCATGCCCCAGACACAGAAATGAGGTTCAAATAGTAAAAGCTCTTTTCAAAGCCACAATAGAGTATAGAGAAATGCCCAAGGGAAAAAAATGTCAGCCTTGATACTATTATTAAATATTGTTCTAGCCACTGTTCTATTGCTGTGAAGAGACACCATAACCAAGGCAACTCTTACAAAAGAGAGCCTTTAATCGGGGGCTTGCCTATAGTTTCAGAAGTTTAGTCCATTGTCATGGTGGAGGATGTGGCAGCATGCATGATGCTGGAGCAGTTGTCTAAAGCTGCATCCTGAACCACAGGCAGAGAGAGAGAGAGGGTGGGGGGGGGAGAGACTAGTCCTGGCCTGAACTTTTGAAACTTCAAATCCTACCCCCAGTGTCATGCTCCCTCCAACAAGGCCACACCTACTAATCCTTCTAATCCTTTCAAATAGTAATACTCCCTGGTGACTAAGTATTCAAATATATAAGCCTATGGGGGCCATTCTCATTCAAACCACCACATTTATTATGAATTCGCATATATCTCCAAGTTGTCCTATGTATCAAAACTCCCTTTCTTTAGCATCTCAGAGATTTTGGACCAGGTACAAGAAGATGCAGAAGATGTCCTCTTCAACCTGGGCTTTGGCCATGAGGACCACAAAGATACATCTCGTATCCCTGCAAGATTTTTCACCAACCCCTCTCAGGCCAAGGGCATTGACTTCCAGCTCTTCCTGAAATCTCAGATGCAGAGGATTGAGATGGAAGACCCCTGCCTGATGCTGGCCAGTGAGTGTCACTTAGCTCCACCCATGCTCTTCCCCCTTACCTTCCTCTCATCTGCAACAGTGGCACCATGCCCTATTTGTTTCTCGGTTAACTTTGTCCTTTGTTTGTTCTATTCTCATTTAATATTTTTCCAAAAGTGCAACACTTTTGTGTCTGCTTTTTCCTCTTGAAGAAACAATCTTCAGGAAACCTAGGGCCATTAATGTTTTGCTTAGGTCTTTTGTCCATCAGCTGAATCAAATCAGCACAAAATTCTTGCATGTTATTCCAGTTTGAAATCTCATTGTTGGGTTATTTACTGGTGTTATGGAGCCTGCAAGCCAAGGAAGGGGTCTCCGGGTGCCTAAAATCTAAATTGGAGGATCACCAATGAATCAGTTGGTACCTGTCTCTGAAACTAAAGCTGTGGGAAGGCTTTTCAGTGAATGTATTAAAAATGGAATTTGCTGATGAGCTCCTGGAGTCACCATCTTCATTCCTTCTATGCAGGCCGGTTTAAGCAGGTGCAAACGCTGGCTGTCACTGCTGATGCTTTCTTCTGTCTCTATTCCTACGTGTCTAAGACACCCGTCCAAAAGTTCACACCATCCAACGTGTTCTGGAATTGTGACCCAACTGATGTGCCATCCATCAGGATTCTGGCTCCAGAACCTGAACCCCACTCACCCAGAGAGCGTCTCCGGAAAGCGATCTCTAAAATGTGCCTGTATACAGGTTCTCGAGATCGACTGTCACCATCTCACAACAACCCCAAAAGGAACAGTTTGGACCAAGTTGTGTGGGAAATGATGGACAGAGTGAAAGGAGAAAAGCTAGGTCTCCAGCAAGACCCTGGGCATGGGCAAGTCCTTCAGAAAGAGTCTGTGCCACCAGTACAGAACACAAAGCTGTCCACTCCTTCATTTCCATGTGTTTTCTACCCTAAAGAAGAAACCCAGGGAGACATGTGCTGCGCTCGTGCTCTAGCCAAGGCAGGTCCACAGTGCAACATGGACTCTGCACAGGTAGGGAGAGAGCTGTGGGGTCTACGGGCCGTTAATGAGAAGCCCCATTCAGCTGAGAGTGAGAGTCCATGGGAAAAAAAAAGCAAAGCAAGAAAGAGCCTATTTCAGAGTCCTCCCTTGGACAAGATTAAATCACTGGACTTGCTCATCACCCAGAAGAAACGAAAGCAGAACCAAGCCAGACATGAGCTACACCAATCTCTAACTCAGCAGCTTCAGGGTGCTTCTGATTTGGAACAGGTGAGTGTCTGGAGGTGAAGGAAGGACATGAATTACTCTAGATTCTTGCCCGGAAGATGAAAGAATAGTGATCTCGAGCAAAACAAGTCCATTCTTTTGTTCTCATTGGACAAAATAAATCACAACTTGTGAATATTCAGAAATTTTTGTTAAGTGTGCTAATGAAGACTTACAAAAAGAAATCCGTAATTTCTTAAGAGAGTTCAGTTTCTCATGAAATATGCACTGATGTTTTTCATATAAGTGAAATGTTAGCTACACACAAAGCTACACATTATTTAATAATATACATCTTGTATATACATAAGTAGTCATTAATATCTGGAAGTTCTGGTTCCAAATCTCAGAGTTTTATCCATTTAACTGTGGGTGTGGCTTTTTCCTAGACCCACACTTGGTTCCTTTTTCTTTCTTTATCTAGATATATTTGGAACCACAAAAGATTTTTCACACACTTTTGTAAACACCGTAAACTATGTAGCTAGCATAGCCCTTTCCTACACAATCAGCCATCCATTGGTCATAACGTGGACCTATGGGTACATCCTGATGTGGAGAGGTTCTTTCAAGAACAGACACTGAGCAAAACTAGCTCTGGTCTATGCAAACAACTTAGGGTCATTTGGCAAGCAGATTTTGTGATTCTAGGTAATCACAGTTTTTGAGAAGGGATTTTGCAGGCTTCAGATATTGCCCCATCTATTTCTTCCTATTCTTTCCCTCCATGGACCATCTAAAACTTGGCATTCCTTTGACCTTGATGTACATATGGCACTGCCATCAAGTGTCAAGGTTATTTGGAAAAGCTTTCAAATCCTAGTCATACAGAAAATCTGTGATCACTTACAATTTAAGTCGCATGTGTGTTCCCACTCATTGATTGTAGTTATATAAGTCATACCTGATATCAACTAGATATCTGACAAGGCAAAAGAAGGATACACCTGGAATGCATCCTCCCTCTTAACTCCTTTCTACCCTGGACCTTTCCTTGCACCTGTCTCCCATTGGTTCTGTCTGAGTTACGATGGGATCTTGTTCACAGGTACAAAGCAACGGTGAAGAAGAGGAGGAATGCCGCTGGCCCAGCAGATCCAGGCACCCCTACTTCTACCATACTTCCCTTGGAGGAGACTGAAGAAGTAAGTGTGTGTCAGGCAGTATTTCAATATGCAGACACATCCTCTCCCCAGTGAAAATATATGAACATCCACAGTGGAACTTACCACATAGTACAATTATTTTACTAGTGTGGCACAGAATCCATAGCTGATTATTTTTTTAAATTCCACAGATAGAGCTAGATAATACTTTTCAGTGTGATTGGTGCTCAGGCTTAGCATATATCAGAATGTCCAGAAATTTCAAATATCTGGATCTCAGTTCATGGTTTCTTTCTTGGTAGATCTGAACAGGGACCAAGGGTATGCATCTCTAACAAGAATCTGACTCTCAGGTGACCACCATTCAAATGCTACTGTTCTAGAGGACATTTTACAGAACCTCAGCTGTAAGAATGCACACCATTACCAGAAGCTGCTTCTATAAATGGAGAATCAAAGCCCCCCTCCACCAGACTTAATGGATTACAATTTGATCTAGATAAGAACAACCTCTCTACTAGGATAACAAAGAAAATAGCATTAGGTTACACCTTTTACTTAGAGATCCTTTCACTTTGTACAGGCATGCACTTTCTAATGTACCTTCAAGACTAAAAGCATCTTGATTAGTAGTCTAAATTTTCAGTGTTATTTGCCTAGAAACATATTTAATGCAACTTCTTTATAGTTTTGGAATGCTCACCTCTATTCTTTCACCTGTACCTCTAGGTCTGCATATTTGTATATATGTAATTATTTATTGAGACATATATACGAGAGACGAGGAGATAGCACATGTAGTTTAATTTTTAAGTTATTGATGTAGACCTGTAATACCAGCACCAGGGTGCTGTGAAAGAAAGATAGCAAATTTGAGGCTAAACTGAGCTAAGGTTGTATTCCACACAAGCCTGGGCTGTATATTGAGGCTCTGTTTCAAAAGGGAGAGGGGAAAAAGGATTAATGATGTGTCTGTTACCTTCATCTTGAAGGTCTGATGGGCTGTTTTTATCTTCCAGTATCCAGCCTGACTTTCTACCATGGAAATTTAACAAAACCAAAGCTGTAATAACTTCAGAAAGTTGTCTAATATCCCCCTCACATTCGTTATATGTAACAACCCAACCTATATTCAAAAGGATGGGGCAAAGCCTCCACATTTAATGGGATGACAAAATCATGCAGTACAAAGACATGTGGGATGGGAAGGTTTTGGCTATCTTTTTAAACAATCCATTGCAGACAGTAAAAATAACACTAGCTTTATCAAAATTTTTATTCCTCATGTCTTAAAGATTCACCAAGAATAAATACTCATTCAAAGGCTATTCAAACCCAGGCATACAGAAACTTGAAAGGAAGTTAAATCCTAGACTCACTGAATTAAAATAGAAAACATGTGAAGCACCCCGCATAGCCTGGTTGCCTTGCCAGACATCTGCTCTAAAATACAAAATTCTTCTCCTATGCTGTTTGTCCACCACGTAACAGCCTCACACAAGAAAATGCCAAGATGTCCATTAATGCCAATTCCCCTCAAGAACCTGAAACCATTCAGAATAAATTTCAGAGTCCAAAAATAGCAGAATTATCTGGCAAAGAGATATATTTTAAGCAAACGAGTAGGTCTTGTTTCCTATGAATGTAACAAGATTTTATCTTAACAGGAGGCTTAGCCATTCGTTATATTTTGTGTCCTACATGTGCATTTTTCAAAACTGCAACATATCTACAGTTAGTATGCATGTTAGAATTTATATCATTAGTCAAATTTTTATTTTAATTAATAAGTGTTCATGTGCAATATCAAATAATTTTAAATCCTATAAGAGACAACCAAATGCAATGACATGCAATAATTTTAGGGAAAAATGTACTTAGAATTTCAAGAATATGAAATCAAAATATTTTAAATATTACTCTCCTGTGAATACCTGGGAGATTCAGAAATTTCTCCCCAGACAGTCTTTGTTTCAGTCTTGGGGTCTTGTCATTTCCAATCTTTTCCATATGCGTTTTAAAAATTGAAAATAGATTATTTTCATACAACATATCTTATTTATGGTTTCTTCTCTCTCCGCCCCACCCAGTTTCTCACCTCCTCCCCATCTGGATCCACTCTCTTTCTGTCTCTTACTAGAAAACAAACAAGCATCTAAGAGATAATAGTGAAATAAAACATAATAAGATAAAGTAAAAACAAGCACATCAAAACAGGACAAAACAAACAGGAGAAAAAGCCCAAGAAAAGTCCTAAGAAGCAGATACAGATACAGATACAGATACAGATACAGATACAGAGACACTTACACTCTCGGGTATCCCATAGAAACACAGGCCTGGAAGCCATATGACATACACAAAGGAACTGTGGGTGGGGAGAGAATTTTTAAAAGGTGAAATTTTAAAAAGAAAGGTGCCCAACATGACATTATGAGACAAAGAATCTCCAAACATGCCACTGAGTTTATTTTCTGTTGGACATCTACTGCTGCAAACATGGCCTGCCCTTAAGAGTAGTTCATTTCCCCAGTGAGATGTTTTCAAAAGAGACACAAATTACCACTCTCAACTTGTGTCCATCATTCTTTAAGGAATCACAAAGTGATTCAGAAACTTCTCAGTACTTCCAAGATTGACAACTGTGTGATAAGTATGAAGGGGAAATAGACTGAGATATACTGAATAAACCTCACTCCTAGTGTGATAGCAATATTCAACCGGCCACTCTATTCAGCTGAAAATTTTTCATTGCCCAGAGATGCTCAACCTTCTAGGGTAACAGGGCTCAGAATCTACCCCCCAACTTACTGTACAAAAACTCTAAGGACTAGAGAGAAGACTATTTCTAATAGTCTATTATGTAAATATACCTCATTTTCTCTATCTATTCTTTGGTCGAGGGACAATTTAGGCTGTTTCTAGTTTCTGGCTATTATGAATAAAGCTGCTAAGAATATAGCCGAGCAAGTGTCCTTGTGGAAGTATGTTGCTGTCTTTCAGGTTATGCTCAAGAGTGGTATAGCTGGGTCTTGAAGTAAATAATCCTAATTTCTGAAGAACTGCCATATTGACTTCCATAGTAGCTGTCTTAGTTAGGGTTTCTTTGCTGTGAAGAGACACTATGACCATGGCAAATCTTATAAAGACAACATTTTAATGATAGGGCTCACTTACAGTTCAGGGTTCAGTCTGTTATCATCACATCGGGGAGCATGGCAGCAAGCAGACAGATGTGGTGCTGGAGGAGTCTGAGATATACTGAATCTTGCATCTTGCAGGTAAAAGGAAGTTGACTGAAACACTGGGTGGTATCCTGAGCATAGGAAACCTCGAAGCCTTCCCCACAGTGACACACTTCTCCCAACAAGGCTATACTCACACTAACAAAGCACTAATAGTGTCACTCCCTATGAGGCTGTAGGAGCCAATTATATTCAAACCACCATTGTTGCTGCACTCCTACCTGCAGTGGAGGAGTATTCCCCTTGCTCTACATCCTTGCCAGCATAAGCTGCCCCTTGTGTTATTGATCTTGGCCATTCTGACAGGTGTAAGATGGAATCTCAAAGTCCTTTTGATTTGCATTTCCTGATGGCTAAGACATTGAACATTTCTTTAAGTAAGAGAAAATTTTCTTAAAGAAGTACTCATTGGTAGTTGAGTACATGAATGATTAGATTTGAGTCGTAGTGTAGAATCAAGGGTAGTTTCATGAATTTCTTGATTAGTGTTTATTAACTTACAAACAGAGGTAATTATAGCTGCAGAATGTCAGAACTATAAAGAGCACACTGTCAAGTCTTTTAAATATTAAAGACTAAGCGATTAACCCTTCTTGAAGTCTTCCCTTATTGTGAAATTAACAGAAACCTTAAATCACATGACTTTATTGTAGTTGTTGCTTTTATTGCTGATAACTTTAAATATTACTTATGGCACTGAGAAAGAAATCCACAGGTGAGACATAAGTAGTCCTGCCGACCATCAGTTATTTAACTTATCTCAAAATAGATACACATTACATTCCTTTTGAACTACCATGACAGGCTTTCTTGACCAACACAGCATGACCTGACAGCAGGGGCTTCACGGAAGCGTCAAACTATCACCTCATCCTGAAGTTAAGTCACACCATCCTCAGCAGCCAGATCCTGCTCTTTGCCTCCCCATGTGGCAGCATGGGACACTGGGATGAAGACCACACAGAGAATTGAACAGTACATCCTGATGTTGGTGCAACTGTATGCAGAGAGACAGACTTCCATGAAACTTCGTTTCTGCACAAGCTGCTTGGTGGATGCTACTCACATGGTACAGATATGGGCGAACTAAACAAAGACTCGATTTTCTCTTAAACTTTGACACCAACAAAGACAGAAGACATACGAATGGCCATCTTTGGGGGGGGCAAGGTATTCCTCAATGATGTTAAAAGGTCAAAGTTACAAGAAGAAGGAGAAATTCAAACTTCATGCTCAAAGACCTTGTGTGCTTTCCTGTGGACCTCCCCTCATCCCTAAGTATTAACTAAATTCCTGCTGATCTTCTGCAACTTCATAGTTTTATTTTCTTCTTAATGTTTTATCTAAGGATATATCCTTAGAACATTTCCCTTAAACACACTTGCTCTCTATTTCCAAATTTCTGTGCCCTCCTAGAAAAATGAATGACTTGGCCTCAGGGTCCTTTATCTTTGCTTATGTGAAACACACACACACACACACACACACACACACACACCAGACAAAAGCAAAATTTTCTGCCGGAAGAGAACAATAAAAATAACTTCTAAACTGTAGCAGTTTTGTTGGTGATGGTTGTTGAGTTTTGTGGGTTTTTTTAGAAGTTCTGAATTCAAGATTTGTTACATCTTCCCTATTGCTGGGAATATATGCATTTGCCACCACATTAGGTTTGTGATGTGTTTGGTGAGGTAATTAACAGATGTGCATATCTTTGGAGGGAAAATATCTTGTCAGCAAGCACCAGGTAAAAGCACAATGTTCTGCTAAGTGTTCGAAAGCACCCTAGGCCCTTTCTTCCAACAAGAAAAAGTGTTCAATAAGAAAAAATATATGTTTCCATCAATAGACCACCCCATTGTCAAATAAATTGAAAAAGAATGCAGAAAATAAAAGGGAAGATTTTTTTAGGTGTTTTGAAGAAAATCATAATTTTGAGGGTTAGGGAAAAGAAATTATATCAAATAAGGACAGAAATAAGCCAACCACAGGGGGCAGACACAGACTAAATGTGGCTATGCAGTGACAGAGAAAATTTCTTTTGTGTCTCAAATTGAATCATAAATGAAGGAACAGAAGAAGGGGAGAGAAAAGAGTTAGTTAATTAGCATCTGTGGGGTAAACCAATTTGAATAAAGATTCCATGTTTTTTTAGTACTCAAATCCTTACTTTAAAAAAAAATCCAGGCAATCACACCCTGGGCACTGTACTATCTTAATTATCCATCAAACCCAGATGCAACAAGCACCTCTCACTGTGGACTATTGACTACTTCAAATTTTGTCCTGTTTTGTGTTACACATCTTGATCAGCTATAATTATTTTAGGTCAGTGTCAGTAATATATGATTTTTCCTTCCCATAGATGCACTTGGTCCTAAATCAAACAGATATATTTCCAACTGCTATGTTGTGTTGCTACTGGGAGTTTCAGAAAACAGCTGGTCTTCTTGTAGATAATATCAAAAATGGCAAAAACAAACAACCTTTTCACCTTTTCTTTGAGGGATCTGTCAGTCTTCAAAGTTAGTGCCAGAGATAGCACTGAAGGGCTGAGAGCTTTTTTTTTTTTTTTTTTTTTTTTTTTGGTTTTACGAGACAAGATTTCTCTGTATTGTTTTGGAGGCTGTTGGTCCAGGCCAGCCTCGAACTCACAGAGATCTGCCTTCCTCTACCTCCCGAGTGCTGGGATTAAAGGCGTGCGCCACCGCTGCCTGGCGGGCTGAGAGCTTTTAATTGTTGAATTGCATGAGGAAAATGTTCTTGAGACAACTATATTACACACCCTTTACAAAGATCAGGGATAATTTTAGAAGAGTTGGAGAGACCAGAAGAGCCAGAGGTAGTGGATACCTACAAAAGAGTGTATTTGCACAAAGCCATCTCTTGATTTAGCAAAGGTGCTGAACATTAGTTCATATTCATGTGATAAATATAAAAATTTCAGTCTTATCTATTTTATTGTGTTGGATGAAATGAAATAGCATTAAAGTGATTTTAACCTAGACATGTTCATTCTTGGCAGTATTCATATAAAACAGAGATCCTTGATGCCCAGGATCTATGTGTTAGTAGAAATAATGCTAGAATCTGGTTACTCACTAGCTGTGTGACTAGAGGCAAGTTACCATACTGCCCTTTCCCCCAGATTCCCCATCAGTAAAATGGAAATAATGTTCAAGTAAACTTCTCTGGGAAAAGTTTAATGAGAAAGGAGTGATGTTCTGGAAAGGCTCACCAGTCAAGAACACTTACTGCTCTTGCAGAGGACCCAGGTTCTGTTTCCTGCACCCACACCAGGCAGCTCACAACTCCTTTTAATTACAACTTCATGGAATCTGATGTCCTTTTATGGCCTCTCTGGGCACCTGCACAAACATGGTACACAAAACTCACACACGCACACACACACACACACACACAAATATACTCACACAGGCACACACGCACACACACTCACACACACAAATGAGTAAATAAATCTTAGGAAAATGGTTTTTATGAAGAAGTGCTTAACTTTCAAGAGGATTTCAGGTCTTTGAAGAAGATGCTCTTGAGACATCTGTATCACACACTTTCTTTCTAAGATCCATGATCATTTCAGAGGAGGGTCAGGAAAGCGCGGGAGGCAGGAGCAGTGGATGTTTTCCAGACACAACAGGACAGGTGCACGAATGAACTCACAGTGTTCGGGACAGCATCCACCAGACCTGTTCAAGCTCAAACCAGACCAGATTCCAACATGAAAAGGAGAGGTGGGCACTAAGTCCATTCTTGGGTGAAGAGCTATTGGCATTAACAGCAGCTGGGAGAGGGAGGGTCAGTTTTACTTCCCTTTGTACTCCTGGGAGTTTTCTATTCTTGACTATGTTTTCTGTCCAAGGCAGCCTAGTCAGAGTTAGATACCTGATGCTGATTTTAAAGTGGAATTCTCCTCCATTTGAGAGAATTTGTCTCAGGCAGGGATGAGCTCCCTAATTGTGTATCCAATACCACGAGGTCAGCCAATTATCCATGTATATACAACCAACCAAAATGGATGAAGCAGGTTGTAATCATATATTTCAGCATATTTATTCACCCATACTTAACAAGGGAGAAGTTGGAAGGGATTTGGAAATGGATGGAGTGAAGAGATAGAAGGGGAAAGTGATGCAATATCTTTTCATTAACAATTTATGGAAATAAATGTTAAATAATAAAGAGGGGCTAGAAAAATGGTTCAGCAATTAAGAGCACTGGGTGTTGTCACAGAGGACCTGGGTTCCATTCCCAGAAACCACATGGTAGCTAATGATTTTTCTGTAACTCCAGTCCTAGCCATCTCCTGCCTTCTTCTGGCCTCTGCAGGTACTGTGCACAGACAAATGCAGACAAAACACCATATAACTAAATTTAAAAAAAAGTGACTGATCAAGACCCCCTGAATGGGGGTGTTGGTGAGGAGGCCTAGGTAATCTATTGAACTTTGGGCAGTAGATCAGTATTTATCCGGAGTATACAAATGGACTTTGGACTCCCATCCAACAATGTGAGATGCACTCTCACCCTGAACTCTTGGGGGAGGGTCTAGGCCCAGCCCTGGATGAAATGACAGACTATGGAACCCCCAAGGAGTGCCTCACCCTCCCTGGGGAAATGAGGGGATATTGGGGGGTCAGGGGGAGGGCACAGGAGGAGGGGAGGGAAAGGGAGAGGGACCTGGAACTGACTTGTGAAGCAACCTTGTTTCTAATTTAAATTTAAAAATAAATAAGAAAAAAAGTTAGAAAAAGCAAAGAATGAAATTCTCTGCAGTGATATCACAGCCGTCAGACAGAGGGTGAGCCAGGGATAGTTATAATGAACCCTTCTGGTCTTGCATGGAGGCAGCTGTGGCCTTCTGCTGTGCAAGCCTGGTCAGAGGCAAAAACAACTTTGTTCTGAAGTTAATAGAGATCATCATAATGGTTCACCTAAGAACAGAGTATATAGTACTGTTATGTGACTTTTCCTTGAAGTTTTCTGCATTTGTGAGAATTGTGGCATTGGTACAGTTATTTTTTAGATCAAACATCAAGACTGACAGGTTGAATAGGATCCAAAGCAACCTACTTTTCACAGTGTCATTTCCTTGATTTTCAGCTAAGACCTTATGGTACAAGATGGACATGCCAGAGGCATTTCTTTCCATCATCTTAATGATTTAAATATGTTCCTGCATGTCTTTGGTGTAAGAATGCCCCTAAATGTCTCTGCCTTTCCATTGTGATCATGTTCAAAAGTGAATTTGCTAACCGAGCATGCTTAGGAATAGGCGCAACTCTACGTGTCCAGATTCCCTAAGAAAAATCTTTGTTTAGGAAAACATTGTTTTTGAAATAACTCCCATGCACTCCTTGCCTCCTGCAGGTAGAAGATCTTTCCCATTTCTTCTGCATTGGCTGCTGTGATGGCTATTCTTGACAGTCAAACTGACTACCTCGAGAATTAACTAAAACCCCAAGAGTTGGGTCACCTATGAGGGATTTTTCTTAAAGGTTTTGAAATGGAAGACCCATCTTTAATCTGAATCACTTGAGGTGATAAGATTCACTTTTAGCTGCTTATGGGAGTGCACGCCTTTAACCTCAGCACTCAGGAGGCAGAAGCAGTTGGATTTTCTGAGTTTGAGGTCAACCTGATCTACAATATGAGTTCCAGGGCTACACAGAAAAACCCTGTCTCTATGATAACCCCCCCCAAAAAACAATAAAAAGAAGGAGGAGGAGGAGGAGGAAGAAGAGGAAGAAGAAGAAGAAGAAGAAGAAGAAGAAGAAGAAGAAGAAGAAGAAGAAGAAGAAGAAGAAGAAGAAGAAGAAGAAGAAGAAGAAGAAGAAGAAGAAGAAGAAGAAAGAAGATCTACCTTTAATCTGAATCTAACCTTCTGGTAGCAGCTGACATATATAAAGGATATTGAAGAAGGAAGCACTCTCTTTTTGCCTGTTTGCCCTATCTCTGGCTACCATTACTAACATTGGAGCCTACTTCTCTGGAATGTTGGTGTATAATGAAGACCAACTGAGACATCCAGCCTCACGGACTGAGCAATTTGCTGGATTCTTCAAATTTCCATTGGTAGGCAGCCATTGCTAGAGTACCTGGACTACAGCTTGTGATGCATTCTAATAAATCCAATTTCTAAATGCATAGATTCATTCTACCGGTCCTGTTCATGTAGAGAACCTTAAACAATGCAGCTGTATTTTTTCCACTGCCCACCGAGGAAGATGTGCTAGGAATAGTGCCCATAGACATTCTTCCTAACCCCATTATTCTCTAAGTATTCAGTTTTCCATGAAGACCACTCTTTTTAATGGTTTTCATTTGGCAAGAGTTTGGCCTGAATTTCAGGAATAAAACTCCTACAGCAATGGAGCTATCTTCCAGCCTTCCGATGGGAGGAAAACCTGCTATCTTGTTTGGGATCTGGTTCCTGCTTTTCTTTCCTAGTTGTCCGAAGTCCCTGTGACAACCAGGTAAAAAGTACCTTCAGTTCATCTGACCTTAGCGTGAAACCACAGAACAAACATCTTCTTTTGTGTCCCTAAATCTCTCTTTAATTGTTCATATTCTGGGTATCCTTCCCTCTGTGGGTCAGAGAAACACTCCTCCGGCATAGAATAATGAGCTGTGCATGCTAGCTAGCCACATTGTGTCCAGGGGGAAGAAGGGAAAGCGCTTATGGAGTGCAGGAAGATAGCAGGGTCTGCTATTGGAGCCAGGAGCTTGTACTACTGAAACGCATATTTTTGCAGATCTAGAAAAGGTCTTTGTCTGGGGTGCAAGGCAGGATCAAGAATCCCTGTGCTGGGTCTTTAAGCAGCCGTAACACTATGGGAGGTGCTCTTGTCATTCAGGCCTCACTAGCCAATCAGGACCTCCAGGCGAGCTGCCAGTCAAGCGTGGTGCCGGGCTCTTCCGGGCGCCAGGCTTCAGGTTTGGCTTTGAAGAGGAGCAGCGCCCGTGGTTTTGTGTACCAGGCTTGGAGAGCTGCTGCAGGAAGCTGAGAGCTTGGACAAGCTGGGAAACCACGACATGGTGAGTGAGGATTAAGCTGTCCTTCCCAGATCGGGCGTGGCAGATGGTGAGGTGCTAGATCCGGCGTGATGTGTATTCCCTGGATCTGGGTGGGAAGCTGCAGCCAGACTCCCTGTACTTTGAGGGTCCATGCAGTCCTTGAAATGCCCTGGACCCGGAGGCAGGCCTCTGAATAATTGTGCTCAGTGGGCTGAGTCTGCTCTGAGCATTGGGTGCAGGGAGTTGTGTGTAGATACATCCCTGTACTCAACTTGAACATGCTTTCGATGCACCCATGGAAAGCACGTTGCCAAACTTGGAGAGGCCTAGTTGCCTCAGTACCTTCTAGAGGTTCAGCATTGGTATTTAACCTTTTACGTGCATGATCCATTTATAGTTGATTTTGTAAAATGGCATCTCACGCGTTGGGTAGCACTTCACTGCTAAGCTGTCTCCTGGCCTGCCTGAGGCCCTTGATTGGTCTAAAATCTGCCAATATCTAGGCAGAAGAGGGACAGCTGGGGCTGTCTGGCAGAAAGAATAAAGAGGAGGAGGAATCTAGAGAGAAGAAGGGGAGGAGGAGGGAGAAAGAGAGGGCCACACCTCGGATGAGAAGCCAGACAGCCACCAGCCAGCCAGACAACAGAAGCAGGAAAGTGGGACATACAGACAGAACAGAAGGTAAAAAGCCCTGAGGCAAAACGTAGATACAGAGAAACAGGTTAAGTTGTAGGAGCTAACAAGAAAGGAGCCTAAGCTGAGGCTGAGAATTCATAACTAATAAGTTCCCATGTGATGATTTGGGATCTGGTTCCTGGCCCAAAAGAAAGCCTGCTACATTCTCCCAATTACTCTGTTTCAAATTGGTTGTGTTTCTCTTTTGCTGTTATTATTGCATGTATGCATTCTATGTCTGTGTACATAAATATTTAATTAATTGACATTTCTTCTATTTATATGGTTTCAGGGCAGACCACTTTGTTTTGGATAACCAACTAGGAGGCTCACCCCTGGGAAAGAACAATTCTCCCTCTCTCAATGGTCATTACTTTCCTGTAGTACTTTGTCTAGGGAGAGGGTCTCATTAGATTTACCCTCCTCAGATTCTCTATGTTACTATGTCTACTGGCAACGTTTTCTCCTTCACCAGGGATCTTCTTGCAGGACTCAGTGTCTGTCTACTTTGCCAACCATGGCTTTGGGTTCCCAGTTCCTGTATGGTTCCTGCTCTGGAGGTCCAGGTCTCTTTTCGGGCCCTGTGGTTGCAGTGGAGGGGTTGTCCTGCTGTCTCCACTGGCCTTGGTGTTAGAGCAGCTCACCAGTTTAGTTGCTGTAAATTCCCCCATTCTGCCCCTTTTTCTCAAACCTGAGGTCACCACAGGATTCTCAGGTCCTCTGACTTAGGCTAAAGTAATTTCTGGAAGGGTATTACCAGGGAGGGGACAATGTCTAGGAGCATGTTGTATGGGTGTGTCTGTGAGGGACTTGCTTGAGAGTGCATTTGGGCATTGCTGTGCTTGTGAGGAGATGAGTGGAGGAATCTCTGTTGCATTTGCTTCAGGAAGGGGGAGGGTGTGTTTAGTAGGCCATTGAGAGGCTTGTCTCAGGGAAGCAGGAAGGTGGGGCAGCACAAGTTCACAGGCCCTGAGCACCAACCCAGTCTCGTCTTGCCCATCTCAAATATCTGTGGAGCTGAGGGAGGTGTTCATGGAGTGCCGCCTCACCTGATCACTTGCAGCCTGGGAATTAGTCCCTGGAGATCCCCAGGACCTGTATTGAGTTTGTCAAGGAGTCAGCCAGAGCTAATGACGAAACCAGAGAGGCGAAGGTCATAGTGCCGCTGCTTTAGCTGTTAGGAGTGGCAGGATGCTGGGAACGGCTTTACATGGTTACATAGGTGAGAACCTGATTCAGGGTTAGTGTGACAGGTGTCCACCTGTCCTTTCTAAGGACCTTCCTGCAACCAGGCTGCCTTCTGTTTTTTTAATTCTCTAAGACATTCTATAGATCCTTCTTTGAGTCCAGATGCAGATGCCTTCCAAATACTTCCTGGTACCCAGCTGCTTTACAGAGCTTTCCATGTCTCCCTCCCCCACTGTCTTCTGAGAGTTTAGAGACTGCTAGTCTTGGAATGTTCCTGGGACAGCATGGGTAATCATCATAGGTGAGCTCACTGGTAAAATCAGAAGTGCTAATAAAGTAAACAAACTCATAACTTGTTTTGAGGCAAAAACTAGTTATATTGGCTGTTGCCAGAATTATGGATCTTGTTGATATTATAAATTGTTGCTGTTTCTGTAGATTGTGGTTTTGTGTGTTGGTAACAGTTGTGGTAAGTGCAGTCAGTCAGCATGGCTCAGTCAACATGGCAAAGACCCGCCAAACAACTAACAGACATCTGTTTTGAGGGTCAGGATCCTCAGGGTAAGTCAAGGTGGTGTCTCTCCAGATTTACAGAGCAGAGCATTGCTCTTGATTTCTGTTTATAGACTGCCCAGTGGCAGTCATGGGGTTCAAGGACCGTGTCTGCTTGTCTTGAGTAAGTGATATCACTGAGTTCTTCTCATAGAAAGCTGTTTTGCTTTGAACATTGAACCAATGGTATAGAATGAAATGCTTACTGGAATTTGTTTTAAAATATTCAATATAAACTATTCATTAAATTATACAGTGTGAGTGTTAGGCTAGCTGGAGCTTTCTAATGAGATCTTGTCTCAAACAACAAAGAAAAACTATATTTGTGAGTATATGTGTTGTTGAGAAATGTCTAACTATCATATTTTCTATGAAGACCAAACTGACTTGAATTCAAGATTTGCCTGGTTCTGCTATCATACTTGGCTATATTCATTTCTGAGAATGATTTGACAGGGACCAGAGGTTGACATCTGAAATGACTTTAAGAGATATTGTCCTGAATCTTGGGACCTCTGCTGAGGTTAAGCTGAGACACTTTAGTGCATTTTGGAAAAGGACTTTCAGGACCGGTCAATATAATTCAGAATTTGAATTTATTTTGAGACAGGTATCTTTAGCTGTCCTTGAACTCAGAATGTAGATGAGGTTGGCCCCAAACTCCCATAACTCTGCCTACCTCTGCCACCCTAGTATTAGAATAAAAGGTGTGTGCCACATATCCAATTGCAATTTTATTATTTATTTTCTTATGATTGTTTGTATGTAAGCTCTCATTTATGTGTGGAAAGGTATGCGTGTATATCATGGTTTGGGTGTAGAAGTCAGAGAATAATTTTGGGTGTTGGTCCTTTCCCTTCCGCTTGTTTGAGACAGGGTCTCTAGTTTGCTATCACATGTGAATAGGCTTGCAGGATTCCTTCTGTCTGCCTTTTGTCTTGCCTCAAAAGCCAGTGGATTATAGACATATACTGTTGCAACTGTCTCTGTAATACAGAAGTAAAGGGATAGTTGCAAGGTCAGCAAGTACTTTATCTGTTAAACCATTTTCTCAGCCCTAAGGTGTATTAAGTAGAAATTTTTGGAGTGAGTCTTTCTTGAGTCACAGTCCCACTTTCTAACCCTGTCTGGCCTGGAACACCCTCTGTAGTAGATAGGCTAGGCCTGGAGAGTAGAAAGGATTTGGGAAAGTGTGGTGTTTTGAGGGAGAGCTACACTTAAATTGATACAAAGCCATGTTACACTTTTGGTAACTTTGTAAGTTCCATTTCAATGAGTTCTTAGAGAGGCTCAGTCTCTGTCTCTCTGTCTCTCTGTCTCTCTCTCTCTCTCTCTCTCTCTTTGTCTCTCTTTCTCTCTGTCTGTCTCTCTCTCTTTTTTCTCCCTGTGTGGGTGTATCTTACTCTCTCCTTCTCTTTGTCTCTCTGTCTCATTGGTAACCATATCATAGGTCAGTTCCTGAGGAGGCTTCTGTAGGATTCTGATTTACTAAGGTAAAAGCATGGGTCAGAAGAATTCTGCACTGTGCCTTACTCTACATGAGGTTCATTATCCTGTCCTGTAGAGCCTCAGAAAATTGCTGCATACATCTGGGAAAGGAGTAAGTCCAAACTCAAAAGGTTTTATATACTTTGGCCTCAAGCATAACTCAATGGTATTTGAGGTACCCCCCCAAAAAGAATGTTTTCTCTGTCTACACTGCAAATTTTATGTGATGAATAATTTTGGTTTTCAACTTAAGAGCTCAATTCAGCCAAGCGACATTCCTCCAGGCACACCTGTGAGGGCTTATCTGGGTCATGTTATTCTCTGGGGTGTTTATGAAAGATTAGTTTGTATACTAAGTACATCGAGATGAGAAAACTCTTCTCCCCTCTAGAAGTGATAGCACCATTCCAGTCTTTTGTTACAAGATAAATAAAATATCCAGAGGCAGATCTTCTTCAAACAGAAGAACAAAAAATCAAAGTAGCGGACTACTAGCTCTTACCACTATCTCAGGCTGAATGGGCCGATCCTGCTGCTTCTCTCCCCAGCTTGGTTAGAAAATCTTGAGACTGAATGTCTTTCTTTCTTTTTTTTTCTTTTGGTATTTTTTCTTTTTTATAATTTATTTTTTAATCTAATTTAAATTAGAAACAAGTTTGCTTCACATGTCAATTCCAGCTCCCTCTCCCTCTCTCCTGCCCCACTTCAACCCTTCCCCAACCCTGCCCCCAATCCCCACTCCACTCTCCAAGGAGGGTGAGGCCCTTCCTGGGGGATCTCAAAAGTCTGTCATATGATCTGGGGCAGGGCCTAGGCCCACCCCCATGTGTCCAGGTGGAGACAGCACCCCTCCATGTGGAATGGGCTCCCAAAGTCCATCTGGATGACAGGGCTATGTGCTGATATATTGCCTGAGGCCTCCTCACTGACACACACTCCGCTATCAGTCTGTGATCTGTGAGCTCCCCCTTGTTCAGGTCAGCTGTTTCTGTGGGTTTCACCTGCCAAGTCGTAACCCCTTTGCTCATCATTCCTCACTCTCTGCAACTGGGTTCCAGGAGTTCAGTTCAGTGTTTAGCTGTGGGTATCTGCCTTTGCTTCCAAGAGCCACTGGATGAAGGCTCCAGGATGGCCCACAAGGAAGTTGTCAATCACGTTATCAGGGAAGGGCTTTTAAGGACCTCTCCACTATTGGTTAGATTGTCAGTTGGTGTCATCCTTGTAGGCCTCTGAACATCTCACTAATACCAAATCTCTCTTCAAACCTATAATTGCTCCTTTTACTATGGTATCTCTCATCCTGCTCTCTTCTACTCTTCCCTCTACTCCACTTTCCTGCTGCCCCATGTCCTTCTCTCCCCTCCTCTTCACCCCCTCTCTTTCTCCCAGCTTCTTCACCCCCCCAACCCCATTACCTCCCACACTCCTGGGCTCCCAATCCCCTCAAAAGATTCTGTCCTGTTCCCCTTCTCTGAGTTACCATGCATATCGCTCTTAGGGACCTCCCTGTTTCCCAGACTTTCTGGCTGGGGATTGTGGGCTGGCACTTCCCTGTTTCAGGCCTAAATTCCATATATGAGTGAGTGCATACCATGCTTGTCTTTTTGTGACTGGGTTGCCTCACTCAGGATGGTTTCTTCTAGTGTCATCCATTTGCCAGCAAATTTCAAGATTCTATTGTGTTTTTTTTTCCACTGAGTAGTATTCCATTGTGTAAATGTACCACATTTTCTCTATCCACTGTTCAGTTGAGGGGCATCTAGGTTGCTTCCAGGTTC